CTGGTTTAGTTGCAGAGCTTTGGTCGTCCTTCTGGACAACATTTCCTTTCAGCGCAATCTTTAGCATAAAGTGAAAGGATTTAAATTTCTTCATGAGTGATATAAGTGCGTCTCCCGGTAACCATCTTTACATCTGTATTGACCATTTTCTATTGACTCGGATTTTAAACTTTCTGGTCACATGATTTACTTTTTATTAGTTGGAGGTATATTCAGTCTATATTAACATGTTTGTTAACTGCATACTCGTTTGAGTACCAGGCTTCTAGGAATTCCCTGACTGCACTTTTGGTGTATCCTCTGTCCAAGATTTCGATGTTATCCCAATCAAATTGATGTCCATAATTGTCTATATGCATTGATACTAAAGAATATATATGTCATGTCTTTTCACGGCTGATATGTTTTCTTGGATTCGAATTCGAAGGGGACGCCCACTCTGGCCGATGTAATGCCTGTTACATGCAGTTCATACAATTTATTTTGTAAATGGTATTAATTTTATCTTGCTTCTTTTTCTGTTGGATCTTTCGGTTTGCATAATATCGAATTGAGCGATCTGACTGGCTTGTGTGCTATATCTATATCAAATGGTTTCAGTATTCTAGCTGTTAGTTGTTTCACAGATATTTACTTATGTGTGGTAGGATGAATTTTCTTATGGTCATGATTATCAAAGCAAAGACTACGGACAACCCTGGCTACACTGACTAGTTAAGTAGCTTATAAAAAGGAATTCTCAGAAAGCATTTTTATTTTCCATCTGTGAATAAAGCATCATTATTTTGTATGCATTAACTTGACAAAAATATAGGGAGAAAAACAGAAATCTCCCATTAACATATGAGATCACACTGCCTATTGTTTAGAAAAAAATTTTTTTTTAAATTGACGGAAGTTACAAAAAATTGAAGTCTGTTATACAAAGTTTTTTGTTGCCTCTGGAAAGTGATTCATGTGATATCTCTGCTGCTGCTGCTGCTAGTGCAGCATACTGTGAAATTTCTCATAAAACTGTTTTACTTTTTTTTTATAGTTTCCTCACATTTTTCTCCGTAACTTCAAATATTTCCCAGTACAGTTGAAGAATATTCATATCGAAAGGTTTGCCCTGGATTATGTTAAATACAGTGGGCAAAAAGAGGAATATCAAGACTAATTTACACCACAAAACTGTGTTCACACTTATTATTATTTCTGTTGGAAAAAGACTCTTTTTTACCTGGGAATAGAACATATTTCTTAACATGTCGATAACTATGCGAATTCAACAATACGCGAAACTCTATTTTTGTAGAAACTCTCACGATATGATGAGTAAGTACACACATATATGGGATCCATAACGTTCTAAGAGCAACAAGAATGTGCTGGCGAGTTTCTCATCTGAAGAAAAAAGGATGCTGATGTTTGAAGAAATGTATATTTCACTGTGGTCGACAAAGAAGTCACACTTTGGCTAGTAAAGCAACAACTAGAAATTTTTAAACAAGCATCAATTAGATGCAGTCAACAGTGCTATGAAAGCAAAATGTAGGTAGTGACTATGGCTCTTATGAAAAGAGAATTTTGTATTTACTCCCTGGCAGTAAAGATGTCAAAAAAAAACTTAATTGGTCGAAAGTGACTAGCAGTGGAATCGAGGATAACGCGCATTTCGTCCTATTTGGGACTCGTCAGCTGGATGTACCTCCATTTCTCAGTGAGTGATGATGCCCAGATATCACCGAAATGTCTGCACAAGAAGCCGACCTGAGACCGAGCACTTCGGTACAATCAATCGACGGGAAAATCTAAAATTCAACAACATCAGAAAAACTGTTGCGCAATATCATGTGGACCTAGTTATTTGATGAAGATACAGACAAACTTCTATAGACGTTCACCACTGTCTCTTTCATTACCCAGCAATGGGAAATTAAAAGAGCAATAATTGAACCACCGTTTGAATACCTTTTACTTTATTTATGTATATATATATATGATTAAATCAACATTTATGCGACAATGTACGGAGGTATTTGTACAAATTTCATACTACAAGGTGGCTAAAGTGGACGAATAGCAAATGATTTAGAAATTTTTCTATAATCTATAGCTTAAGAAGCGGAAAATTGCCGCTACACACCAAACATATTTAGATACACGATCAATAAAATACTGGCTCCAGGCTACTAACCAAATAGATACAAAAGATATGGTTACAGGAACACGAGTTAAGTTTACTGTAAAGAAAAAAAAAACAAACTGACAGGAAGTAAGGCTCCAGATACAAGTAAATTAGTCAGGAAAATAACTGTCACTTTTTAACGCAAAAACTATCTTTTAATACGTCAGTTAACAAAGATGTAATAAGATAAGAAAAACACGATAATTAGCTAGCTGGTCAGTAATGCGTGTTTCTGTTATGATTTAGTCAACTTCAGAGTCTCTGACTAAGTGACCATTATCTTTGCTTAGTTTTAGGCTAATACTGCTCAGTATTAATTACTTAGTGTCCATTGTGCTGAAAGCAAAGGCAATATATCGATTAATAAGGAAGTTTCATGCATTTATTTGCCTTAATGAGTTTGAATAATGCAAGAACAACAGTTTTTGAAGAATAAAATGATACCACCATTTATTTCATTGGCTTCTCCTCAGCTGCTTACAGGCCAAAGTCATTATTAAGCATATCTACAGAAACAATTTTAACGTACTTGCATAAAGTTCATTTTTAAACAGAAATCAATCAGTCACTATATGCATATATATATATATATATATAATATTAAACACTATCCCTAAAAATAGTGATCATACACAATGGAGACTTTCGGCATTGCGCAATCAGATGAAAGAGAGGTAAAGATATCCAGTTACCAAGGCAAAGAAAGACTGATAGCCGTTTCTTTCTGAAGGCACAAATAAGGTTTCAGGCGCTTGTTAGAGATGGCTTCGCAAAACTTGAGGAGAATTGAACTCTTTTGCCTATTGATACTTTTGAACGATCTTGCGACGTCTACCTCATGACTCGTGTCAAAGAGATGCCTGGCGATTGATGGCACTGTTTAAAGCATTTGTTCCCGTTAAACATAGCTTTTTTGGTACATGTTCAGAAAATCGTAGATATGCCCTTCTTTCTGTTCTTCCAATGTAACTGCTCCCGCAGATACATGTATATTTGTACATACAGTTGGAGTTAACATGAGAAGGATATCTATCGATTTGTGATTGCACCAAAGAGCAAGTTGTTTGATAGACGCGGACGAGCTTAGCTGCAGGATAGGCTATGGCTAGTGATGTACTCAGCCTTCTGTTGATCATTGCTTCACCTTTATAATCAAGCTGAACGTAGACTGGCTTTTTTCCTACTGTGATTTGTTTTACATTTGTGACTTCAGATCTTCCATACTTGCTGATGAACCTTTGAGTGTAACCATTGCTCTTCAACATCTTTTCAAGAAACTCAAATTCTTCCTCTAATTTATCTATAGAGCATATTCTCCGCTCTCTATAGTACAGAGTCTTGACTAGACCACGTTTAAAGCTATTTAGACAAAAGTTATTAAAATGTAAGTATTGTCCATTCCATGTAGGCTTTTGGTAAATTGACTTCTGAAGACTACTGTCTTCTAGGCGTTGCATGGCAATGTTGAGGAAGTGGAACTTTTCATCACTTTCATGTTCCATAGTAAATTCAATATTGGTATGTGCGTCGTTGAATAATCTGGGTAGGTGGGAAGTATGGCTTTCATTGTTGCACACTATAAATGTGTCATCGACATATTGACAGTAAGAAGTTGTTTCGTCTACTGCATGCTTCAACTTCGTTCTTTCAAGGTTGGACATGAATATATCTACTAAAACAGGGCTAAGTGAACTGCCCATAGCTACACCATTTATTTGTCGGTAAAGACTGTTGTCAAATCGGAATTGTACACCCGTGGTATATATTAGCAGTAGGCGTCTGAATTCCGACTCTGGAAGTGGGAGAAGATCAGACTGCTGACAAATGATCTCAATAGTTTCATTGATTGGAAGTAGTGGTAATTTGTATACTAGTTGGAAGGCCGATGAGAAACAGACGTGAGAAGGTAAAAGCAATAGGAAGCATCCAACAGACAACAGAAAAGAACGATATTACTATAATTTTTATAAGTCGTGAAATCAGTGTACGGCTTATAGTTTGTACAATATGCATAGTATTTTCATTCATATAAGGTAACTTCAGTGTTACTATACTGTTAACTGTATTGATTTTCATCTTCACTTCTCACTATTATTTTTCTCATACGTTGTGTTTCTGTTGTGAGAGCAGGCTGCTAGCCAATTGGTAGACAATTATTTACGTCAATGTTGGTGTCGCAAATATTGGTCGTGCAAAAATATGAACAAGACTGATTCAACAATCAGTCAGAGCAGACTTGGCGCAGGCAGATACAGTTAACATATAGATGATCTGACATTCAAGAAACAGTCACAAAGAGATGCAAGTTCAACTGTCTGTGAGAAACAACCAATCAGAAGAGTGTGTTTGTTTGCTTGAATAAGCTATAATAATGTACATGGAAATATATAAATACGTGTTGATTTCCTTAAAAAACGATCTGTCGCCTGGCTCTTGTCTTCTGTTGTTATATTTCTACTTAATTTAAAGCGTAAGAACATATCGAAATGTGTTTTCAGTAAACTATAATAGCCATCAATAACCTAAATGAAATTTATGAAGCACTCCTTGTCACATACATTTCTTTCTTTCTTTTCAGAACAGCTTCTTTGAATGTACCGACAAACAGTTCTGTTTGGCTATCTATCAGAGATTATTGTACCGGATTACCGCATTATTCCGTGTGCTATGCAAAAATGACTTCGTGTAGATTATTTTATATTGCTCATAACAATCTGAAATGGCAGAATACTTAGAAATGTATTGATGTTATTTATGGTCTGTCTGGGTATGAAAAATATATGATTAAGCAAAAATAGTTTAAGCAGTAATATCACTAGTATAAACTAACCATCCATTTGCTTGCTTTCTTGAACGAATTATAAACCAGTCTTGAATGGTTTCACGTACTTCACGTATGCACAGATAAGATTCATTAGTTTTGCCAACAAAAATGAGATAATTTTCACCGAATATAAGGCTAGTCCATTTCGATTTTGAAGATTCTAGTGAAGTGTATCCTTTTCTAGACATTGGTTCTATTAAATTCCAATGACCCTGATAATTCTGCTTGAATGTACACGAATCCCAGTGAGAAGACTCTACAAAAATAAAAAAAATGAAATTCAAGGAAGTTAATCCAATCTGGAATAATTTTTTGGAGTGAGTTAGTACTCACTTTTAATGCAGTTTTCTCTAACAGCGTGTATTAATTTAAGAAAGCAAATTTTTATGATTTTCGGGTAAGTTATATTAATCTCCAACCTCTCCTAGTTTACCAACTAGTTCTAAGCCTGGAGAAAGAGGGAACATTGCATGTGGAGCTAGCGACTTTATTTCAGAAACCTAATCCGGTTGCTACAGAAACTTCAATACACGGAAAAACATGAAAAAATAAATCGAGAGGCATGTTGTTATGTAATTAACTGATTGGAGGTGAAAGTCATAATACTTATGACTTATATTTTATGTTTGGTAATTGAGTGTACACCGAATATATATATATTTTTTCATTATTTTTAATTATAGCTTGATTCCACACCGTATCCTTGGTACAAGTGTGGAATTCTCAGCTTGTGATATCGGTAGCCCGAATTCTGTTGGCTGACCATAGATATCAGGAGTGCGTCGGCAGGGAATCGAACCACGGACCATGTGCATGGTTGGCGAGAGTCCTAAACGCTGTGCTACCGACACACAACGGGATGTCTCTGCCAGGATATGCAAAGATGCATGTTTCGCATGCATCCTACCGCTCGTAAACTGTCTGCTTCTTCCACTTACATGTATAAATATACAGTGAACAGAAGGCGATCATTATGCATACTTAATATCAAACAGGATAGATTCAAAATTTAAAACAAAACAATAGCCACATACATGCTTAACTTTATGAGGGTGTGGTATGTATTCAGCCAATGTAAAGTGTACTGAATCCATTAGGGATAAGGGTCACTGAATTTTTTTAACAAGGCATTCATCACTTACTGCATTTTTTGTCATCTGCTGGGCAACTTTTATAACAGAACATTCGATTCCGTACATCATGGTCACATCCTTTTGTACAACTAGTCGGTTCATCATCACATATTCCGACTGAAATGTAAAATAAAAAATTTTTCAAGTCATGCTTAGTAAATTGGTGAAGCATACTGATGAAACTTTAAGGAACCAAAAAAACACAACACAAAATCTATTCAGTGAAGACATTATTGTCATTTTAATTGCGAACACTGTCTATATGTATTCTGAAATATGACCACATGATGTCGACCACAGTGTTAATCCATACTTTACAAAGAGGGGAACAGTTTTGAAATCACAAACCAAAACCATTGAATACTTTCCTGTAGTTGACCAGAATTAAAGTCGCATATTATAATCAACTGAATAAAGATTACAAAAATCTGTTTCTCTTAGAGACGGTGCTATATCGTCTACCCCAACTTTGTGCTCTTGCTATATTATATTGATAAGAAATATTTCCATTCTTTTCTTCACAACTTTCACCAGTCACTCGTCTTTTTTTCAACGTATATCAGCTAATACACTCCTGCATGAATGCTTCACAGTGCTACACAGAGTCCCTCAATATCGTACACAGGCACTTCGCATACGCCAACTGTACATAACTGAAGCATTAGCTATTCGAGATCTGAAATCGGACCTCTGCATTCAAAAGTGATACATACATTCTCTCGCCCTACCTTTGCCAGGGTAAAGTCCCTACTGTAATTTTACTTCTTTTTTATTATGTAAGTTTACTATTATTATTAATGTTTTGTTATCATCACTATTATTCCCATCACCCATATTTTATGACAACTCTATTACTGTTTATTAATAATATTGCTTTTTCGTAGATTTTATATAAAAATACTTTATCGCCTTTACACTAGTTCCTGTCCATTCTACACAGTTATATTGATTAGTCATTACCTCACACTTATTACGTCATGCCAAATTCTACCGCTTTTCTAACTTACAATTAGTCATTCCTTCTTACACCTTACATTATGTAATACATTTTTCGAGGACGAAGTTTACCAGTATCTGATTGATCTAAAGATTGCTTTGGTAAATATAATTACGATTGTACAGCTCATGAAAATGAAAATACTTATTTCCCTATACGAATTTAAAACAAGCAATAAAGGTTAATAAAGCAGGATGATTTAATAAATTTATCAAATTTCGGTAGAACTCGTCAGCTGAATACTCTACATACACGGATATATATATATATATATATATATATATACTTTTGAAATTACATTGGGAGATATCAGACTGATAAGTAAACAAACTACATTGAATTAGTCATGCAGAAAGACACGTGCGAATAACAACACCATTATTATTATAACTATTACTATTGATATTAGTCTGTTTGCACTTCTCGTTATATTCCCTAATGACTAACTGTTTATCTAAGTGATGTAATTGAAGCGTAATGCAATTTATCTTAATTTTGATCTCTTATACTCTCTCTCCCCTTGTCTAATTCAACATGACCTGTAAATTATTCACACGTGTCTTTCTGTATGACTAATTCAATGTAGTTTGTTTACTTATCAGTCTTATATCTCCCAATGTAATTTCAAAAGTATATATATATATCTCCGTGTATGTAGAGTATTCAGCTGACGAGTTCTACCGAAATTTGATGAATTCATGAAAATGAATCGTCGAAAAGAAAATTTTCTTCGCTGATTACGCCTTTTTCTTATAAAAAAATACACTATACTGATGCCACATTTCATCAGGTGTGGGGTTAAAAAATATAAAAAAGTTACCTATTTTTTAATGGGTGTCTGAAGATAATCAGCCATTGAGAAAAACAGCTATATTTTCTGAGAGTACTTAACGGCTGCTCGTCCTAGTTTGGGACTCCTCAGCGGTACGCAGCCACCGGGGTTCGATCTCTAGAACTTCTGGTTACAAGGCGAGCTCGTATACCGTTAATCCACTGGTACCCCATCCAATGTCCTATAAATTCCAACTTCTGCCAATTCACGAGATAGCGCAATCGGTAGCCAATGTCTTCGGCGAGTATTTGTCCTCACACCGAACCTGCTGCACCCTATTGGTCATGACTTCCCACCACTTCTGGTGGGAAGGTGGTGGTGGTAGGTCCTGGGTTCGAACTCTGGTGGTGGGTGCGTACTGATGAGGAGTCCCAAACTAGGACGAAAAGGCTGTCCAGTACTCCCAGTTGGTTTTCCAATGGTTCTCTAACCAATGTCAACTCATGATAAAATCCTGTAACCAGTAAACCAAATCCCTACAAATCAATACTTAAATAGCTATATTATCTCTTTTTATCCATGGATGCTATTTGAAAGTTAATTGTTTGAAATTTTACAACACACTTTCCTATTTGCTTTATATATATATATGTATATTTGTTCAAATCTGATAATGATTTATTACGCCTGCATGTTACATGTTAACCGTTTAACAATTGACAGAATCGATCCGTCAAACAGAATAAACATTTTGTAAAATCATATGTAAAATGAATATTCAGCGGCGTTCTCATTGCTGTTATAGGTAGATTATGTATCTTCCAGTAATCCTTAGTTGGATATCTTACTTAATATTTTGTCGTTTAAACTAATTGCTGATTGGTTGACTTATTGAAGTAGATTTTACATCTGGTCTTAAGTGTTCCGTTCCACTTTCAAAATACTGAGATTCGGTTAAAAAAAAAACACTTATATTTTAGACGGTCTACAACATCAATTCAACTTCAATAGAAAAATGCAGTCTGCTGTATATCCAAAACATACTACATATATATACCATGCTTGTCATCAGTAGACAACAAAAAAGCTTATAATTCTAAAAACAAATTGAAAAACTAGGCGGAATTTTCAAAATCTTGACCACATCGGACGTATAAATGGAACTATGTTTTCAAAATTCAGCACTATCTGATGTAACCCTTATATGTTCGAAATATAAGTGTCATGGTGGCTCATTGCCGTTTATACAGAATGAACAACAGCATTTGCAAATGACATTCAATTTTAAAATCTTATAAGGCTGACAATTTAAACTTTTAATCAAAACAAACTAAGTGATTATGGTCAATTTTCTTAACATAAATATTTTTACGAGTTGATCACGGATTAATATCAGTTAGAGAACCATTGAAAACCAGTCACAGGGAGTACTGGACAGCTGTTTCATCAGCTTAGTTTGAGAATCATCGGCAATACGCACCCACCACAGTGGGATTCGAACTAAGGACATCCCGGTTACAAGGCAAGCTGACTCGTATACCATTCAGCTACTGGGACCCTATTCAATGGCCAGCCCATCAGTTCTAACTTCTACCAATTCGTGATTTAACGCGACCCCAACCAATGTCGTCAGGTCCCAGTGGCTGAATGGTATATGAGCCAGCTTGTCTTGTAACCTGAAGGTTGTGGGTTTGAACCCTAGTGGTGGGTGCGTACTGTCGATGATTCCCGAAATATTCTGGATGAAACAGCTGTCCAGTACTCGCTGGCTGGTTTTCAATGGTTCTCTAACCGATATCAATCCGTGATCAACTCGTAAAAGCAAAACTAATCCTTACAAACCAACTATAGAAACTTAACTCTACACTTCATACAAACTGTATGCACAGAAGAGTATATTTTCCATAATGAACAAATCACTGTAATTTGTTAAATGTTCGACAGCATTTTACAATCCATGTATATTCTGTGATTTTTAATTTGCGATTTCTTAGAGAACGCATGTTATAAACATCTAAACAGTAATTAGAAAGTGTGTGTGTGTTGTTTCGCATCAAGTTAACTGAACATCTGGTTGTGTACTTGCGTGTGATGCGATGACACAAACACAACCCGTATAGATGTAAACTACTGAAGAGGTAGAGGTACTTGATCATTACAGATTAGTTACAGGATTTCATCATGAGCTGACATCCGTTAGAAAACCACTGGAAAACCTGCAGGGAGTACTGCACAGCTGTTTCGTCCTAGTTTGGAATTCTTGAGGAGTACGCACCCACCACCAGGGTTTGAACCTAGGACCTTCTGGTTACAAGGCGATTTCGCAGACCATTAAGCCACTGGACCCCGATCGAATGGGCCATGAATTCTAACTTCTGCCTATTCACGATATAGCACAGCTGCTAGCCGATGTCTTCGGCCGTAGACATAGGCAGGATTCCAATTTTTTTCTTTCGTTTTTAAGAAATATGCCTAAGGTCGATTAACTAAAGTATCAGAATAGTTTTAAACAAATTCAGCTTACATGCTCGGCGTATATACAATTGATACAAAGGTATTTCATGTTTATTTTGCTGATTCCATCTATTGGAGATCTCCGTGCTGAAATCGAAGCTATTTACATCCCATAATATGGAGGTATTCTGAAATATTTTGGATGATAGACCAGGATATATCCAGATAGGTTTATGTTGACCATAATTTGAATCTGATGGATTTAGTGGTTCGGGTATATCGGAGAATATCTGTTTTGACAAGTGAGAAAAAGGGTAAAGAATCTGTAAGAGTTATCATTTATTTTGTTACTAAGAGTAATGCAGACAAAGTTGTTGGTCATATAGTAAATTCTAATAAAAGATGTTTTTCAACCAAAAATGAAGTAAATATTTCTCATTTGAATGTGATAGGAGATGTAAGTGGTTTGAAGCTCTTTCTCTCAAAGGTTAGCTGAGATATTTCAATCATATTTTCAACGAGGTTAATCAACATTTTTATAGGTTTCCCGGATGAATTATTTTTAGTGATTGCGGGATAAATGGAACCTGATTTAAAATTTGCGTCAAGTTAAGATCGCACATCAGTGATCGGTCTACCACGTTAGGATTACTCTTGATATTCTAAGTAATGGTTTATTTCCTCTGATTAATTAGTTTCCGACCGGAAGCTGCTACCTTGACTTAGTGGTCGGGTTCACACATCGCAATGACCCAACAAGCTACACTGGCTGGAACTATTCTTCCTGCAGGTCCTAGCATGCTAGGAAGGTTATTAGGATAGCGATTAGACTAAAAGCAGTTACTGGCTTAATGTAAGAATTTTTACCCTACACTATGCTGGGGGTCTGTGGGCGATGTCGTACTGCGGGGAACAGGGATGTAACAGCAGCGAGGTTTTTCCCCCAGATGACCATCATGCCAGCCAGCTATGCTGTCTCTCTACTCTGGAGAGAGGGTAGTTAGAAAAGGTCGATCCCAACAATTATAAATCTCTACTTACCCCACCTTCGGAGGTCCGTAACTGGCGGTAAGTTTACTAATACGAAACCAAACCAAGAAGCCAGTTCGTAGAGGCCATGTGTGACTGGCTTCAAGTAGTTGTCTCTGGGCTCTATGGTCACGCAACACTAACCCTCATTCTCTTTCAAGTACGAGAAGAATCAACCAACTTCCACGGTGTGGGAGGCTGGGAAGTAACAACCGCACACGCACTTTCAAGATCACGGACAGACAGATTAATTAGCTTGCATTACTACTTGTAGAGATTTCAGTAGTAATCTAGAATTTGTCTTAAATGATTTCTCTTACCAAAAGACTTTATTATCTAAGGATACAAAATATCAGGGGGTTACCTGAATGCACCTTAATTCAGTTAGGTCTCTTTACTCAACTGGTAGAATACTGGGCTAGTGATTTGGAGGCAGATGTTCCGAATGTTAATGTGACCTAGATTTTAAATTCACCATAGGACACCACTCATTGAATCAATAACAGTTTTCAAACTGAGGCTGCTTATGATAGTCATACAATGATTTAGAAATTAGTTACAACTTTAATTGAAGTTACCTTGAATTAAACAAACAATTAGGTGAGGTCACGATTAGAGGTATGGTGTGTAACTCCAATATGATGCATAAAAGCCTTCAAAACATTCAACTAAAAGTCTTATTTACAATTTCCATTTAGTAGTAACAGAAGTCATAGTGGACTTATTTGTGATTAAATTACTCGTCTATTAAACACTAATTTACATTTCTTATACCGTTATGTTCCAACTGGAACATAAGACTTCAAGCTAGAAGCCTGAAGTTTCTGTAGCAGCAGTGATTGTTTTCATAGGATGAGGTTGCTAGCGTCATGCCCAACCTTCCCTCCTTACCACTCTTACTACTGGCTTTAGCGAGGTAAAGGAGTGCGTCGGTGGTCAGGGATTGAACCCCGGACCACATGCATGGACAGCGAGCACTCTGCCTCTGTGCCACGGATGCACAAAAAGCCGGCAACACACGGTATTCCCAACCAGTCACCCATGCAAGTACTAACCGGGCCCAACATTGTTCAACTTCGGTGATTGAACGAGGACTGGTGTTTTCAACATGGTATGGTCACCGACTCGCTGACTAATTTAAATTATTATTATTATTATCCCCTTGGTTTCCGAGTAGATTATAAAAATTCAGCAGAACATCTTCATCTCACTCTGTTCTCTGCGGTTTCCATTAGCTGACTTCAAGAATCCTTATAAACTTTTATTCCCTCCTAACAAGTTCTCCTCCATGTCAACCAGCTTATTATTTCACATTCAGGTCTCACCAGAATGCCTGTCGCATGATGTCTTATCAGTAGCTTCTTCAGAGTGTGCCCATTCCATCTCTTTCCCCTCCTACAAATTTACAACACACTAAATACAAACCGCTTGATAACTTTTTCACTTTTTCTTCAAAATAAAAGATATCCGTTATTACTTCACATATATATGTTTCTGATTTAAGCATAAACACTAAATAAGTTTCATTATTCTCACTTAAACGATGATAAAAAAATAGTAGGTTTTTTAAAATGTATAATAATAACACAACCTTTTGTTTTTGTTTATTTAGTTTTCAACTCAACAATGTATAATGAAAGATACCATCTGCCGTATACTTATCATACGTACACATACATATGTTAAGCGTAATAATGCAGATACTCACAAAAATGGTTTTGGTGACAAAATACGTTACTATTTAATAAATTGTCAATATGTCAAAATATCAAATAGTTTTACTTAAGCATATTGGTATTTCAGCATTAAATCAGGTCTACCTTTTTGTTGTTTAAATTCTAATGATCCCTGTTATTGGTTTTAAGGGACTAATCTCATGAAGTAGTCATAATATCGTGTTTTTACAAACCAACACCAGTTACAATATTGAACAGAGTTTGACAATGGGTAGAAAAAACAGTTGAGAAAGGACGTGTGATGAAGGAAAACAGTGAAAATGAATGTTGTATTCGTTTTACTAGGAGGAAACTTTTCAGGTATATCTGCAATAGATACTACAGAATTTTCTCATATTCATCGAAAAAAATTTTTATTTTTTATTTTCTTACTATTTAGTTATTATGACCTACTAAACATAAGATGGGAAGTTAAAGTCCGGAATAAACTTGCCTTCTAGTTTATAAAACTATTTGTAAGTGACAAATAAAGCTTAATGGTTAAAATAAGTATTACATGGTCGTTTTATTTAAAGAAATCATGAAACTTACTAATGTGAACAGACTGTGTCCATCGTCTTTGCGGTCTTGATGCAACAGTGTAAAAGTTAAACCGTCTTTTTTCCAGTGGGTGAAACAGCTGTGATGACTGACTAGAAATTTTAAAAAGTAAGTCAAAAAAAAAAGAAATTTCTCAGTTAATTTATGTTAATTTTTAAGAAGTACTTATGGAAGGGGTATAACAACATACTCCTTTAAATATCATACATAACTGTCTAACTGTTTGGTTTTTGTGTTTAATTAGCTGGTTGTACAACCATCATGTATAGAATAATGGAAATGCAGAAAAGTCCAGTGTTAATTATAATTCCCATTGCATCTAATTTTTAGGGATACTAGTTTGAGTGATTTTCTTAACTGGAACATAGAGACAGAACAAATTGTATGAACACTGCGAAATAGATAATATAATAATAAAGATTTATTTCAGACAGTATGCAAACATATAGTACAAAAATCTGGCAAAGTTCAACAACAGCGTCTCAATGATGCAACCGCACGGGTGACCTTTAGCTGAGCAATCATAAAAATGAGGATTTTTTGCACAAAAAATGACGTATATTTTCAAGAAAATGCATGAAAACAAATTGAACAGGGTATCTTACTCTGACATCACTTAAAAATACGCCCCAGTAATAATGAGCAGTATCATTTGCTAAGTTAGACTAGTTTCTCTACATGTATTCACCGAGATGACCGCAGATGAGCTGTTTTTGTGAATTGTTTATCTCTTTTATTCTCATGTTTAGTTTTCCCCAAAAGCCCTCAGTTTTCACTAAGAGGATTGACGACCAATTACCAGGAAAATGTGGATAATAAAAGAAATCAAAATAAATGACATCAGCTCTAAATCTATCCATAGTTATAGACCGATCTTAATCCTGACCTTCATCATAGACTTAACACTAACCCTAATACAACCATTATCTTAACCGTAAACCTAACCCTAAGCCAATACTTACCTTAACCCTAATCATAACTATAACGAGCTATTAACAGATGGTCCAAACAGTACTTAAATACGTCAACTAGGTGAAGTTTGCATCTTAGTTGGTGGACAGAGTTGATATTTTTTAGCTATGCTAATAACACGTGCTGTTAGCCAACGACTAGCATACCTTCAACGTCAGTGGAGCTTTTGCACTCCTGTGACGCTAGTGTTGAACTTCACCCAAAAACATTCAGCCTATTTAATTCCAAAATACCTTTTTCTTCATACAGGATTTACATGTAAAGTAATAATCTGAAGTATATCTTCAATTGGTTGAAGAATTGCACAGTGTTTACTTGGAAGCAAAGTTAAATCAGCGTGCAAGCTCATATGTAGGTCATTTGATATAACTGGAGGATTAAAACAACAATAAATCCAGATGAAATTAGGCATTCTGGTGGAAAGTAATTTTAGTAGCCTAGTAATTCAAGCAGGCCACCTAACTAATTGCAAACTAATTTGCGGTATATTCTGAAAAAGTCATAGTGAATTGATAATATTTGTATAAGTGTACTTGAAGGATATCAGAGTACTAAATTTCATCGCTTCTTGTTTTACTGGCAAATTCATAAAACCATTTATATACTATTAGTTATATTTTAGAAAATGTTTTACGTAATATGAAGTATAAACTAGAGGGAATTGGTCAACTGGAAATTGAAAAAAATAGAAATAGCATTCCGTAATATGCGTTAGGTCGTTTTATCACCCTTACTAAGTAACACTAGTTCCAGTTTTCAATCTTCACTTGAGCATTCCCTCCTAGTTTATACCCCACAAAACAGTAAATGTTTTCTAAAACGTAACTACTAGTATTTGACCGGATTCTTTGTCGAATTCAAACACGACTGAAAAGTTTTCGAAGATGACTCGTCGAAAAGAAGTTAAGTTTTCTTTTTGTGTCTGCTTCAATATGGAAATTTTTTGTTCATTAAAAATGTATGTACATCATTGGTTTATGCGATAACAGAATCTTCGTATTCACTCAAGTTTTAAATGATATATTACATCAGGAGTTCAGTATTATCTGCTACACATGGAACTTGTAACATCAATTAACTGAAGATTACCTCCTCAAATCTGACAGCACAAAAAGCTATTTTCACTGTAATTACTCGTCAATGTAAGTTAAAACGTTTCTCCCACAATAATATTCCAAATCTATCAGTAAGTGATTACAAAAGATGGACAGTCAAAAGAAAACGAACTTACTACTATTGATTTCAAATATGTTGCATTTAGGATCGTCAAATACCCATTCAATTCCCTCGTTTGTTACGCATTCACTTTCCATGGTTGCAAATGTCTGATAGTCACAAATAGGCTGAATATATTTAGAATTCAAAAAATAGTTACTATTAAGATTTTAGGCAAATTTTTCCTAGCGTAAATGTATACAAATATCCAGCGAACAGTTGAATAGTAATGGTGATAATAATAATAATAACTTTTGTAATTATGCATGAAGCATACATTCAGGTATAAAGGTCAACCGTTTCTCAGAATTCCACAACAAACTGTCAAATACACCCTGTGAATGCATTCTCTATAGGCAACACTGAGATATTCCCACATTCATGTACAGTTGCTAGAATTTCCTTTTGCTCTAACTTTTTAAGGTAGTCAACATTTTTGAAAGATCTCGTTTCTGTTTACTTCAATTTTCGATGGCAGTTGCATTTGTGCAGCAAATAAGATACTGTATTTTGTCATTACATTCTGATGACTGCTAATTAAAAAATAGGCAATTTTATATTAGTTTGTTTATTACATGTATCACACAATGAAACAGACGTATTATTTACTTGATGACGTTTCGAACAAAATTTATTGTTCATAATCATATCAATTGTAATCACTTGACTTTGAAACTTAATTTTTACAGTTTTCTTTGTTTTCTCCTATTTGTCATCTTTGGAGTAGTAGGATTTTCCAGATGTCCGGTTGGACAGGTGTTGAATCATTCCTATTACACGTATTCTCTTCAGGCGATTCGATAAATAGAGCTGCCGATATCAATATTTCTCTCCACTCTGCTGTGATATTAGATTCCAGAACTGTGATCTTATCCCATTCCATCCTTTTGCACGGTTGTATGTATTTGCATGTATTGAGTGCTATAACTGAACTGTTCTCCAGATATCTTATCTTAGTGTCGGGTCAACTAATCTAGATTTTCCTAGGTTTTTATGTTCAGCTAGTCCGACTACCCTTGTTCTACTAGTTTGACCTACGTATTTGACCTGACAATCATCTCAAGCAGGGTATTAGATAAACTTAATTGCTTTGTTTCAAAGGTTCCATTGTTAGGATCCTTTAACCGGCAAGGCTTGTTCCTAGTTGAGTTTGTGGGTGGTTTGAATGCCAGACACTTTTATTCCTTCTGGAGAATAGTTCAGCTATAACACTACACCACATGCAATTACACATAACCATACGATAGGATGGGATGGGATAAGATGACAGTTCTAAAGTCTAATATAAGAGGATGGAGGGAGAGACGGATAATGGAGGCTCTATTTATCGAATCAACTGAAGAGAATACGTGTAATAGGAATGATTCAACACGTATCCAACCGGACATCTGGAAAATTCTACTACCCCATTAATGACAAATAGGAGAGAACAAAGAAAACCATGAAACTCAAGTTTCGAAGTCGTGTGATTATAATTGGTGAAATGATTATGGACAGTAATAAATTTTGTTCGAAACCTTGTCATCCAGTAAATAATACGACTGTTTCACTGTGTGATACATCTAATAAACAAACTAATATGAAATTACCTATTACCACAGTGCCCAACTTATACACATATATTAATAAAAAGATAGGCATCCATTTAAACCGGTATAGAAGCGTGTCTCGAGAAATTATCGAACGACTGCCAGCCTATATTTCAGTGTTTTTCTAATCAAGAGATGGTGTGTGAAATTCTAGTCACCCTGACCGTTTTTCTTGTTGAAAACAACAGTCAGGTAAAAAAAAATACAAAATAAGAAGCGATTATTGTCTATAAAATAAAAAAAAGTATTTAAACAGAAAGGCTGGATTTTTTTCTCAAGACAAGCAGCTAATAAAAATTTCTTTCTTTCGTAAAATAATTCATATAGTCGTTTGTCACGATTACACTAACTTTTTTTTGCCCATTTTATTGCTAAGCAGTTAGACATTTTGAGAAACTATAAACTGGAAGCACATGCCTAATTTGCGACATCTACGGGTAATAACTTTCTTTAAGTAAAGTTTTGATTTTTGCCAACTGAGTAACGTGGCTTTGAATATCTGTAACTCTTTACATTTGATATTTATAATTCATTATTCTCATCCTAAGCTATGTATTATACTTAACTAAGCTGCTATTAAACTGTAGAAGGATTCAAAGCCTAACTTCACATTGTTAGCAGTAGCTATTTTTAAGCCAAATGAGCTGTGTTTCTAGTTCAGAGGTCTGGCAAATTAATTTGATCTGGTCAACATATAGTAATTAATTCACCCTCAAGTAAAAAGTAACAATCTTAAGAATTTTAAGAAATGCAATGTTCCAATTGTGTTTTCCTTGATACAAAATGGATTCTATTGCTCTAATAAAGTTAGTCAGGGGTTAAATGTCATGAAGTCAGTCAAGCGGAAGGTTTGGGTTCTGTTTCCAGACCTCACTCAGCTTGCTGGCCCGTAATAAGCTTGGAAACAAGCTGTCATTGTAAGTGAGAGGAGCATTCCCTCCCACCACCTTGTACAAACGAAACTATCAGTGCCAAAACTTCAGAGCTTGAATCCCTACGCTTCTCGTAAGAGATAAAGGGATAGAAAGCAGAAGTTATTAAGATTTAATCTGTCAGTATATATTTAACAACCACAACGTAAATACGAATTTGGACAGCATGGTGGATGACCTCTGTTTGTTCGTAAGTCGAAGACAAATGATTGTAATTTTTTTATTAGAAACCTGATAGGCAAGTGAACTTTGTCCAGTCTATCATCTACTACATTTCGACATTTGATTCACAACTTTTTGTTTATATCACGGCTGAATTTATTCTCATGACCTTGGTTCATTTTACAGAAGCTATTTTAGATTTCTCAGTTCTTTCTGTATTACTGGTGACGCCTACGAATATAACCTTCTTCGTTATGAATTTTATTCGAATAGCTTCCACATAATCAGTGGATCTTTTTTATTCTTTTTACTCAGGTGATTTTTGAGTTAACACTGCTAAATAGGTCGAAATAACTCTTCTACAGCTGTCAGTAGTTAACTGCCCGTGTAAACCTATAGCACGATGCAGTCGTCACTATGCTGTTTGATAAAACTTGAAACTATAAACGCTTGCATTTCATTGGCAGATCTAATTTATGAAAAATTCTTCCACTTGAATATGAGCTAATCATTCTTTTGAAAATAGTTCTGTGTACTTTGAGACGGAATAAATGCAGGGGAAATAAACGTGATTTCAGAGACAACGGTTAACCTCCTGAGGGGGGGAAATCTATAGGCTCACAAAGATCTAATTTAAAACGGATGCACTGGCTTTTTCTTTTGATCAGTCGGATCCTTTAGTGTTTAACAACATTTGATTAATACAGATTTGTAAACCTGAAACAAAAGTCTTCGAGAGAAACATAATTTTTGGATTAAACTGAGTGGATCCAGTGCAACAACATAACTAAATAGAAAAGGAATTAGGCTTTTTTGTTGAAATCTATCACTAAGGGACTCTACAGACTCCTGACTCATCATCCACAGGTTTCTTTTTATAAATATTCTAAGAATGACAAGTTGACTGCAGAGAAAAGGGTCTCTTATCAGAGGTTGTTGCTTTCTATAGCTACAAAAACATCCGTCAGATCGCTCTCAACGATTCAATATTGAATGAATGTAATCTCACCTAGGCTTCAGTGACTACTGGGAGTGAAAACGGCAGTTTTAGACCTTCCATAAATATTGTTCTACTTATTTATATATTACCTTAGTTTATGATATACATGAACAATGCTAACTACCTACACGACATGAAATTTCTTTAATTTTAATAATCACATGTTGGTACATACAGTTCAATTCGAGGAATAGAGAGATTTCTACAGAGAACCAATTTGACAAAATGCTTTAACTTACTTTTTCGGAGCCGACTTTCCTCATATTTATTATTTGAAATCCACCAACGAAGGGACAAGGAGTGAAAAGATCCTTTGCATTTTTAGAAAGTGAAGCTATTAATTGAGAAAAATTGAAACCGTACTCCAGTAAATAGTTTACTATTTTAAAGTGTTATGTGTTATATAAGCACCATTTTTAAAAAGTCACGTATCTAGAAGTCATTAGGTCACTCTTGAACAAATGTTACACTTAACATATACTCTAATGAATTAAATACTGGACAGGTGAACACTGTACTGGTGAAAATTTGTTCATGACTAGTTCATTGTATAACTATACAGTTTTGAGAGTTGAATGCCATTAATAATAATAATAATGGCAATAGCTTTATTCTGAACAATGTTTATCTACACACATTTTATTCTTGGAGAAGCTGAACAATCTATCTCCCAGAATCCACTTTACTTCGGAAGCAGAATCAGATGTCGGTGAACTACCATTTCTAGACTGCCTAGTTAAGAAGAGGGAAAAGTGGACATTTTAACATATCTGTATTCAGGAAGAAAACCCACTCCAACAAATATTTATACTTTGGATCGTCACACCCCCATCAGCGCGAAGGTATAAGTTGTTTCAAGTCTTCTTAAATGAACACACTCTTTGGTAATAGATGAGAAAGAAAGAGAAGAAGAAATATCAAACATTACTGAGACTCCCAAACTACCCAAAAAACTTCATCAAGGAAACCAACACTGACATTAAATATGGTAGTAAACGTATCCTGAGGACATGTACCTCATCAGTTATCATTCCATATAGAGCAGAGATGTCAGACGATATCCAAAAGGGTACTCAATAAGCACAACATCAGAGTTTCGTTCAAAACATCAAACACACTGCAAAGCAACCTTGTTCATATAAAAGACTAAAACCCTAAGTATTTTAAATCTAATTGTGTCTACAAAGTAAAATCCTTGGAACGTCACGCAACATACATTGGACAAACATAACCAGAGAGAAGTCAAAATTAGAATAAATGAACACCATAGAGCCGCCTCTGTTCGACCACCGAGAAATCCAGTAGAACTAGATAAGTTTGAAAGATCATCAGCCATAGGTCTACACGCTATAGAATCCGGCCACAAAAATGATTTTGCCAATATTGAAATAATACAGAAAAATTTCAGAAATCCTAAAGAACGTTTCATATAATCAGAAACCCTTCATATCATCAAATGGAATCCAAATTGTCTGAATAGGAGTGATGGACTAAAACAGAATTCTACCTGGTTACAAAACCCCCTCCCCCGCCAATTAAATGACAAAATCAACACGAATGTGATAAGCAATTTCACTATGTAAACACATGCTGCTTTTATAAATTTACACACCTATCAAATCCAACAATCTACACATGATTTTGTTATCTTTGCCGTTTGGCCAATTCGACAATGCTAAAATGGCCCTATGCTGAGGAACGATGATCAAATTTGTTATATATAAGCTGAGATTTCGTAAATTCTAGTTTAATATTACTGCTTTGATAAAGCAGTTAGCAGGATTAAGTGGCGAAACGTCAGTTGAAAAACAACAATATCGTTTTGTTTTTCATTCATTGGGAAATGTAAAAACGACCTTTATTATAATGATTATCATATACCCAATGCCCAAATGTTTTCCCCCTCGAGGAATACACGACGACATTTTGTTAAGTGCTAATTTTTAAAAGTTCAGGAGTACATTTCGTGGACGAGGGACACCACTTAGGAACGGTCATCTCATGTATTGGTATAAGCTGCCATCAAGGAAAACGCTTATTCATATATTTAGTAAAAACTTGCGAATCAGCAGGTTGTAAATATTTTAAATACTCGCGAGAGTATAAAATACTATTAGAGGTCAAATTTTACTAGATATAAACGAACTAAATAAGAGATTTTATATGCAATATATATGTATTGACAGGGGTATTCTGTAGCCCAAGTTTTAAGCAAGCCGCCAAAAGATTTGAAGAATTAGTAAACATTTACTACAAACTGACTAAATGTGTGCGTAGAGCAAGGTTTCGCTTTGAAAATTTATGAGAACCGGTTATATGAACTTATGAGCTACTTTCTTAAGTAGTATACCAGTGTTAGTTATTCATGAGTTATATTTCTGCTGAACATCACCTAATATGAAGTAATACACAGATCTCATGGTTTCGCAGACTTATCTTAGTCATAAACACAAGAGAAATAGCTAGATTCAGGAAAAACGGAGTTACTGATGACTACATGTATGTTTATATGAATACATATGCATATTTAAGGAAAATTGACGTCTTTTAAAAAAAATGCCAAATGGAGTATTCACTAGGGCATTCTTTTTGGTATAGCTATGTCTTGTATTCATTACCGTAATGTGCAAAATACATAGTTCCTGAAATAATGACTACAGGATATATTTAAGAAATTTCCATCTGTAATATAGATATAGTTATCAGTGGTAAATTACAACGACAATAGTTACTCTAAGCACTATGAAAGAAAAAACATGATTATGACGATTTCCGGAGCAATAAATTTTTAGAATTTTTAATTTCAAATGTTTAGTTACAGATCTAGATGGCATGTGACAATTGTATACTTTATTCAATGCAATTCAAAACAACCATGGACTGCTGCCACCAATACTTGAATACAAAATCAAAAGTCGACGACCACCTAACGAAGCGGCACCGAGAAAAATTAAAACAGTTGAGAGATAACAAAGGTCTGCTTATAACTCGGCCCGACAAGGGTGCTGGTGTAGTGCTTCTGAGTCGAAGAGACTACATCGAGAAAATGAACTATATACTGTCGAAAGAAGATAAATTTTCCCAACCTTCCAATGAAAGAAACAAGACGGAACAGATTAAGAAGCAGCTCACAGACGTCTTGAAGAGAATGAAGGTCAGTCAACTAATCAGTGGGGATATCTATGATCAGATCCGACCAACAGGTTCAATAATACCAAGACTTTATGGTCTGTCAAAGGTACACAAGATTGGTCTCCCACTTCGTCCAATTCTGAATATGTCAGGTTCCCCTTACCACTCTGTTGCAAAATGGCTAGCAGATATTCTGGAACCTGTAAAGAAGCAATTATGTACGCACTCGCCCCGCGACACCTTCCAGTTCATCGAGTGCATACAAGACATGAATGTATCTAACAAAATTATGCTGTCCTTCGAAATTGAGTCACTTTTCACCAGTGCCCCACTCACAGAAACGGTCGGCTTCATATGCAGATATATAGATGACAACCACCTCGATATTGGAATACCGACAACATACTCGAAAGAATTATTGTTGAGATTCACTCTGAACGTCCAATTCACATTCAACGACACCATCTACAGACAAAAGGATGGTATTGCAATGCGATCTTTGTTGAGTCCACTACTATCAGACTGCTTCGTGGCAAGCCTTGAGAGAGGTTCACTAAAGCCGAGCATTGACAATTTGCAACTGTATAAAATATACGTGGACGATATTTTCATTATTCAATATTTTTCTATACCTACCAGCAAAGTGACCATAACAGCATTTAGTATTCATACTTTTGAGTTCGTAGAGATTTCGATTAATTTTGGTAAAGGTTTTGTCGTAAGTGGATGTCAATTAGGAAATTTTTGAAAACTATGGAGCACTAGAGACCTGTTTCTCCTTATTTTGCGACCCTTTGGTACTGCGTCCCCATGAACTCCCAAATGCAAACCCAGGATATTGAGATGATAATGAGAACCAGATTACTCTCCAAGTACTGAATTGTAGGGATTTGATTTACTTTAGGTTAGATTTGTTTACAAACAGAAATCAAATACAGAACCATTGAAAACTAAGAAACACTGAACAGCTATTCTGTCTTAGTTCTGTGAGTAAATGAAACATTTCGTCATTTAACACTGGAAATTAATGATAATAATTATCCAAAGCCCGAACTACACAACTAATAGATAAGATCCAAATTTTGCTGGAATGTGTTACAGCAAACACAAATAGTCTAGATATCAATCTTTCTCTCATTAATGGCTACAGTATGGATGTTCTGAAGTTTTGGTGAGAAGTTGTGGCCACTGCGATTCACCGTGTTGGGCATAAGAAGGAAGCTTATTGATAGAATTGGTTGTTGACGGCCTAATATCCCGAACTATTAAAAATTCAAATTTCTGAAACTATGGATTCAAGCCCATTGGCTGAACAGCCAGCAGGCTGACTTTGTAGCTCCAATGTACTGCTTTCAATCAGCGTTGCAGTCGTTGGTTCACACGGCTACAGTCTTGCTGATCCATGGTTTTCAACTATTTTCTAACTATTATCGATTCGATAAACAGTCTACTGTGAAATATTTAATATGTTTAAGCCAACATAACATCTTTAATTTCAGTAAACTGACCAGCACGAGGTTGATGTGGCCTATTGTGCTGGGCAAGTAGTATTAGACAAAAACCGAATCCACTAGTAATTATAGTCCGAACTATTATAAAATGAGCATAATTCAAATGAGTGCATATTTAAAGTAAGTGGTGAAGGCACAGTATACAATTAAAAAAAAAATAAATTTATGAGCTAAATTAAATATGGCCACTTGGGATTTTACGGGTGAATGCAGTTGTTAATCATAGTTTCGTGTATTATCACACACTATTTAAACCAAATAATAATTATTCCATTAAGTTTTCACCAGACGTATAATCAATATTATCAATGCATTTAACAATAGGACCAATGTAATATGAAAGACTCTCTTGCGTAATTTATTCCCCGAGTCAACGTCCGGTAATATAACGTCCGGTATACAAAGTGACGGTTTCACAAAAGTACGATTATGAATAATAATTAGTGTCAAAAAATCTATTCGGCAGATGAAACAGTATGGGTGAAGTATTTTTATCACACAGACTGTGGCAAACTATTTTCGTCTCTTTCCATCCTCAGACTTCCGTGGTTACGACGATTTAAAAAATATATTCTACGAGCATTGCGTTGGTGGTTTGGTGGTAGGACGTTGGCCAACCATGCACGTGGTCCGAAGTTCGGGTCTCGGCCGGCGAACTCCTTTACTTGTCTTAGCTAGACAAGGAGAAAAG